TTTTCGCGTTGGTTATTGTTTTGTCTTTATTCGGCCGATAAGCCTCAACCGATAAACCAGTATTTCTTGGATTTATTACTTCGATCACGAGTTTTGCTGTGCCTAATTTTGTAGATCCTTCGTTTTAGCCCGTGACAATAGCAATAGTGGCTTCTAGTATTTCGATCAATGGTCTCACAAATTATGGATTCATAAATATTAATGAGAATAAAAAAGAACTACTTAACTAGATTAATCAGTACGTATTGTTATTTGGACGATGTCCATATTTTTGAGCAGATTTAGATATAATCCAAATTTTACATGTCCAATTAAAAAAAATTAGTAAGTTCATATTTTGTCCATATTTTAAATTATAACATTGAGATAGTATTTATTCATTTATCGTTATTATTGCAATGTCAAGTTTATTATCTGCATTTTTCAACCATGCCAATTGATTAATAATTAGCAAAATTTAAAAATGACGTGAAACATATTTGACATGACTAATTTTATTGAAGTTGCCTAAAGGTTAAACTAATTCTACCATCTTTAATTTTCTTCTCTTTTGGAATTGTATGTTTCCAAAATTGTTGAGTTGTACCCTTCATAACCACCATAGAACCATTCTCAAGCACAATTTTACGTTTTAATTTCTTATCAGATTTATTTTTAAATATAAAGGTTCTTGGCGTACCAAAACTGACAGAAGCAATAATACCTTGAGGAACAAGTCCTTTTTCGCTATCCGAATGTTCACCGATATATTCATCACCATTTTGATACCAATTTAATAGAACAAAATTAAATTTTGCGTTTAAGATAGTTTCAATTTTTTCTTGAATAATTTTTATGGAAGTTGGATATTCAATCGAGTCAACTTTTGCACTAGTTCCGGAATAATGATAAACCTTATCAGGTGTTGAACCAAAAGAACAAGTGAGTCGGTGAGCAGGTGAAGTGTGGCCATGTACTTTAAAGATTGGACGAGACCAATGAGAAAGAGATGCTAGATCAGAATAATAACTCGTGCAATCTTGTAGGGAAAAAATGGGTGAATAGTAATACACTTGGGCTTGAGGCATATCTAATTCAATAAATACTGGTTCTGCTTCTGATGATTCACTACATGATGTATTTGATGTATTGAAAGGTTTGGCCTTTTTTCTTACAATATCTGTGTCCTGTACTGATTCATGTTCTTCTAATTGAGAGGTTTGTGCGTTTCGTTTCATGTCGTGAGGAATTCGTGTATGCTAAGTCCAATATTTCATTTAATACCACGAATCAGGTTAAAAAAAACTGCTGTCGTTATTATAACTCCGAAGCCAAATTTAAAATATCATTGATATTGTATGACATGTATTACTTATTACGTACGCACCTCCAATGTTATTGGTACAACATACTGTATCCGGTAAAAAATTTAATACTACCGCTACTACTACGTAGAACATTATTATGAACAGTAAAATAATTAAAAAACTCAAGCTATCTCTAGACATCTAAAAACATGCAAGAAAAAAATTTAGTAATTAATTTTTATATGGTATATACTACACATAGTTTTGATATACATTACACCGATCACTTTTTACGTATCAAGAAAAATTTTTAATCATATGTAGGTTAATATAAATATACACGCAAAAATAATGCGAAATCAGCTACTAGGCCAGCAAAAAATAAGTATAAAAATAAAATACATGATAGAAATGTATGATAGGAATGTGTCATTTTGTAATTAAACTTATGCCTAAATGCTAAACACGTAAACATCTACTGTATTTCGAGATTTTCAGCTTGATCATTTTTATCATAACTTTAAATTCAAAAAATGTGTTACCTATTTTTTTGGTAAGCTGATCTCTTGGTCGTCTGCTTTTATTCGATTAATTATTTTATATTAAATGGAACATCATTAAAACACTTAGTACATCTTTGGAGAGACCAGACTAGCCATACCCGTACCTTTTAGTTGCCTATTTAAGTAGTCCGCCCATAACCTATAACTCAACTAGTGGCCGAGAGAGATACCGAAGTACCCCTTATTTTCGCACACCCGGCTTAGGACTTTAATATGTGTTACCTCTTTTTGATTATGGACCAGTATGAATTTGTTGTTCTTCTTGGACATTGTGAATTAAACATTCTTAAAATATTGTAGGTTGGATGTTCTTCGATAATTCGCTTGGTATCTTCTTACACTATAGATTGGGGTTTTTATTGTATTATAATTTCAAGTATTTGATCAAAAGTCTTTAGGGAATTATCACAAAAAAAATTGTTAATTTCAATTTAGTACGTCAAGAATTGACTCATTTTTCAATTGGTTAAAAATGATGTGTAACATAGTCTTAAAAAGTTCTACGTAGCATTATCAGGAGTAATACCAGTATAGAATGAACGATATTAAGTAAAAATTTATGCCGCAAATTAACGGAATAAATTAATTATTTTACCCAAGAGGTCTAACTTTTTTTATTTTTTTTTATTCCTTTGATTTGTTGTAAGTATAATAGAAAATACAAATAGAAATACGCAAAAGAGAAAATAAAGAAAATCTCAATTTATAGATAGATCGATATGGTTATATTAGATTGTCGAAAAAATTATCAATTTACTTTTGCGAAAATAATCACCACTATGGATTTTAATTGAGTGTAACCTAAAATTTATCGGACATCGGCTGTATTTACTGCCTAAACTGTTCGAAAATGCCCAAATCATGGTTATAGTTAAGACTAAATTAAAATTATTATGATGCTAAATATTACATGGTTTGGGCTGTCCCAAATGGTTTCTATAGAGGAAACTCTAAGGTCTCCAAGGTCTTCCATTCCTCCTCTCCGTCCCAGCTCAATTAACCGTATAATGTATTCATATTTTTTTTTAATTTTATTAAGGTGAAAAATCTATCTGAATTGAAAGATCGCGTTAGAAAAAATTTATTCGCAATTATAGAAAATTATGATAGAAGATTAATTCAAGTCTAGATAGCTCCTGCACAATAAAGAAAAGGAAAATTGACCAAAGGTTAAAACAGCATATTCTCAGAGTAGCATCCATCAAAAAAAAAAAAGTTTTAAAGAAAGACTATTAAACAGTCGCCCATCCATGCAACCTGCTGATTTTCTGATTTCACATCATTATCCGCAGAGGTCATATCATACGTAGTAGATCTGGAATTAATGTTTAACCCGACATCACGTATCACTATTAACATTATTTGTCTAACCCAAAAGAGCAATTAGTTCCTTGAAAAAGCTACGTACGTATAGGTGCCAGATATTATTAGATTTAATCATTATATGTTTGGATAACCTGTCCCAAATTTATAAAATATATATATGACTGCTTTGATGGCAATTATAATTAATAAATATATAACATACATGTTTACTGTCGTTATTTTAACTTTGCTACATAAATCTTGTGAAATTACCCGTTAAGGACCAAAATGGCTATCTGAAAATACAGAAATAAGAAAATTAAACTAACTGCCAATCCATATATTAAAATACTATAAAAGAACGTTTGAACTTATTGAATTTATTGTAAGTAATTCTAACTTTCCGTTAAAAGAATTACCGACACCTTTTTAAAATGGCACATCATAGTGATGAGGTGAATATACTATGAATATACTATGAATATAAATGTCGTATTGATTCATATTAATTAATTTCATGTTTTTGTAAAGACAATTATTTGGCAAGGAACAGTATGGCCTCTTGGTTGTTTTTCCCCTTTATGTTGTAGTTCGGGTAGGTTTTTCTTATTTCGTAATTTCCCCAGTGTCATTTGCTAACATTCCTTCTGGTACTAATAGTCCATTGGAAAATCACCAACAAAAGAATCGATTCCATTTCGGGTTGTTGTGGCTCGACTGAACACACTGTGGTATGTACAATCGACTCTTTCTAATGGGTAAAAACCTACATTTTAGAGTGTGTAAAATACTTATATATACTTGAAACCTAAAAATCCACACTTAGTGAGATTTATATAGCGCCTGTATTGAAAAACTCGTGCTTAAAGAGAGTAGTATAAAGTGTTTCATTCCCGTAATTTGCTAAAATATTTCGTTGATTTTAGGATATTCGTCGGGTCATCGACCTAGAATTTCATAGATCATGCCTTCAAATGTTTTCTGGCCGTGGAACATTAACAATTCATGTTGCGTAAGTTTCAACTACCATTTTTTAATATTCTTTTTCGAGTTATTTTTTAACTCGAAATAATTTTGATAGAGAAAATCCTCCTATATGCATTACAACATTTGGTATGAGAAGTGCGTATATAAAATTGAAAGAGGCGTGGCTAGTTACTAAAAACGTTGGTAACGTTGTATAACCTTGTTCAAACAAGTTCTAATTTTAGAAACTTTTTTAACTATACGAGAAAATAAGTTTCTTGGTCACATTTGTGTATTCTAAATCTTTTTCTTATTTAAAAATGAATAGTAGTTTGTTTATTCAAATTCTTCAAATTCTAATGACGAATAGAATAATACATATATTGTTGTATTATACGTATGATCATTTTAAAATGTATACAGTACCAAGTATAATAAGCATAATATATTTCCTTCTAATATAATTGGTTGTATTTATTGGTCAAATCAACCGACAAATTCAAATTATTTTATTTTATTTTTATTTAAAGTAGATTTATGTATCACATGTGCGATGTTATCGCATCTTGTAAAGTTCATGAACAATTCTTATGAACGAGGTGTAAGAGCCTTGACAGAGCCCCGAATAATATATACGGAGGTTATATGTATTTGGTGTTAATGTCGTACGTCAGAATGGAATTATTGTAGATTTAGAAACTAGCTAGGTTGATTCCTAATAAACATAGGTAGGTTGTAATAGAATTCTAAAATGCGGCCGAGTAGTTAAAGAATTCCAATTCAACTTATAACAAATTATGTGTATTCCAAATTATTTCATCGAGTCCGCTGTTTTGGAATTTAAGTCGCCTCAGGAAAGGGTTATTCATAACACGGCGAATTGCCAATGAATTAAATTTAAAAGCATTACACTAAATTTTTACTTCTTGATTAGTGGGATGACAACTATTCTCACAGAGTACATTCATTTTTTAACATTCACGATCATTTTTGCCACACGCATTTTGCAATTGCATTTAATATTACTTATTTGTGATGAGGATTGCATAATAAACATTTCTCAAAAGCTGCATTTTTGCCTTCCCAATTATTATATTTGCTGGATCTTATAAAACCTTAATACAAAAATTAAAGTTTTCACATGTTATAAAGGTTTTACGTCACCTATTAGCCGACTTGTTATTAAGATATGTGGAAAGCAAATCTTCGAATGCATTACAAGGTAAAAACGATAACCTTGAGATTTT